TTTCCTGAAAAAATCCGAGAACCAACAAATTAAATTGGTGTGGCCTAAGGACAAAGTATGTTGTACCCATCATGTGTCCATTCTGTTCCTGCTCTCTGCGGCGCTGGTTCAGGTACTTGGGGCGGAGATAGATCTTGCTGCGATCACAGCACTTGTAGATACAGATGCCCAGGATACTGCTGATCAGGGTGGTGGCTGTAGCTGTCGCTATGATACTTGATAAGGAAAATAAAAATTTCAGTGCCCATTATTATGGTGAAGACCAATCCCACAGCCCAGATGTACCTCAATCAAAATGTATGTGAAGGAATACAAAATAGAAACATGAAAGTGCAAATATTTCACAGACATTCAGTCAGTTCATCTGTGTTGCCTTGGTGGTTTCATGTTTAAAGTTAAAACTTTTGATCCAACACAATGGATTGTTCTCAACTAGAGCTTTTGAACAGTCACTCTGGTCTTCTTCGATAGACTGACCCAGTGAGACTTGTCACGTGACTTCTCTGAGTCTGAAGTGTGATGTCAACACTGGGTCAGTCTATTGAAGAAGACCAGAGTGGCCGGTCAAAAGCTCTCAGTGAGACTATTTCTTTGTGTTGAAACAAAAGTTTTAACTTTGCTAATGCAGAGAATAATGAGGAGCGGTCCAAGCTAGACAGATGTACTAACCGACAGAATGACGTAATTACTATTTAGATAAGGTACCTACCTCTGCCAGTGGAGTGGTATGTATGAGCTGACATCGTTGCCTGGGGCCTTGGTGGTCACCTCTTGGCAGTTGGGGTTGTTCTGTCCTTTGGAGTGCTCACAGCCCAGCAGCAGGCAAACTGGTTGGAAAAAGTTATTTTGTTAAGTTTGATTTTTTTAGAGTGAGATTACAAATAGTATGCACATTGTACTTTTTTTTCTGCCAAGAGTGCTACAACTTCATCAGGCCTCCAAATTATCTTTTGTTCCTATTGTCCCAGCATTGTCCTAACCTGTTTTTTGGGAGGTATTGTATGACTTCAACTTGAAGTCAACTTTATTTTGCTTATGTTCACACCCAGGCACAATATAATTGCAGTGTAGACAGGAAATTCGGGGGACTTTTCCGGATCCAAAAGCGTGTGCCTGATAAAGAAGGGCTGACGTTCTAATTTTCAGCGAATTTTTGCGAAATACTAAGACTCTAAGAGAAAACCCTAAATTTTAACATTTTTAGGAGGGGTGCTAAGATTTAGGGGAGGGGGAGCACCCTTGCTTCATTGCTTGCGGAGAGCCATGTTTTGAGTTTATGAAAGATGGAAAAGGAAACGTACTGCTGTAGGTAGTGTTAGCCTGTAGCCCAGTGATGAGGTGGGTGTTGAGGGAGGGGTTACACTGGGAGATGTAGCGAGGGTGGTTGTGTTTGATGGTCAGGCTGACGTGACAGCGGTTCTGGTCCACTCCCTGCTGCAGGGCCGTCCACTGGATCTGCATGGTCGTGGAGCGCAGGTCCGTCACCTACATGTAACAGATAATTACGTTTACCAAAGGAAAAATTGTTTTTGCTATGTTTCCTCTTCTTGTTCAAACCAAAAATTTCAATGACCTGAACCAGACTGTCTGTTACCATGGTAACTAGTGTTGGGTTACATCATGTTGCAATTTTATAACAGGAGGGATTTAGACTCCTGTCTGACTATACATATGAATATGTTTGAGTTAGAATTAACAGAGCAGACCATATGCAAAGGTAAGCATCATGCATTTGCTTTGCAAATATTACCTTGTTTCTAGTTGGTTATTGAAGCACATCGGCAGAATGTACTGCGCCTGCGCAAAACCACCATTTTTCAAGGTTTTCGTTGGATTTTTGGTCAACGTTGCATCATATTTTTGCCTATTGCAAAAGATATTTTTTCCAACATTTGGAAACTACAGACGGAATGTTTACCTTATATGCGCGAATACGACCTTACATGAGATGTTCTGCCAAAGTGCTATATGCATAATACATTACGGGTTTCACGCAGGTACAATACGTTCTGTAGGTGCAGTAGGTTATTGAGATTTACATTGTACATGTACTGCATTTATGAAAGAATTGACAAACACAGTACATATCACGAGTAACTTCTCAACCTCATTTCCTGTCTTTAATTTCCTGCTTCATGCAGGTCCGTTGTCTTATGGGAGCCAGTGGAAAAGTACAAACAGAATCAGGGAGAAATTCACAATAATGAATAAAACAACAAATATACAAAAACTCTTTAACTATAGTATAGATATATTTCATGGTGGTATATCTTAGATTTCTTGGAATTAATAAAAGTGTTGTCCATTCCATAAGATACAGCGAACTGTTAATAATTTTGACTTACATAATGTATTAAATAAACCATGAGCCCTGAAAATTGCAACAAGTTCGCATTGATATGGAAATGAAAACTGTTGAAATCAAACACTTATAAATAAAAATCACTAAAAATGTAACAGAATCACATCACAAGGATCTGAGATGACAGACTATACAGCATTAGAAACTTGAAAGTGTACAGCTTAAGTTATGAGTCATGAAATGCATTTCGTTGTCTAGACTTTGTTGTCTAATAATAACTGGAGCGACTTACCTTGAAGTTTAAGTAGGCACAGCCTATTGTCTGTTTCCATCCATGAGCTGCAAACGCACCACCACAATATAACACAACCAAGAACAGAGCTGCTAAGACTGTCCTTCCTTCTTGTTTTCTGGTCCACATTTTGGGCAAGTTTTGTGCAAACCTCCTCCTGTGCTTGCCAACGGAGGGAAATTTCTGTAAACGTCTTTATCGTTAACAAGCAAGCATCTAAACGTGCCTTTCAAGATGCTGTTGTTCTCGCCTTGCCAGGAGGATTGATGGAAATATTTTGTCCCCGAGAAAAAATGGTGGGATGTGCGTCACTCGTACGTAAGACACAGACCTATCTACCTCCCAGAATGTAAATGAATCCCGTGTCACGTTTTTGGTCGTAAACGGCAGGGTTGAATCCGCATTTTGTCGTGTCTTCGTCTTCAGTTGTTCACAAAGCGCGTTTGCAGTGATGTTTTCTCGGTTCCTGGTTGAAAAAAGATGGACTTACTTGTCTTCAAAGTGGGGAGTAACACCTGAGTTCAGCACGTTCTCACACCCAAAAATGTAAAAGACCTTTCCAGAAAATTTATTCATTGTCTGTAGAACCACCAGGAGAAGTATGCGTTGGTGTAGAATTGATGTATGATTCATGAAACTACAGGATAACCTAGCAACACTGACGTCATACACCTTGTTTTGCAATAACCAACAAAATTAAATATATGTAACTTTTGTACAGACTTCCTTGTTTTAATTTTTACTTCACAAAAACAAGAACAGAGTACACCTTGATCCTGGTGGATGTAGTTTGTTACCAGATAATTTAAGAGAAAAACTTAGTACAAATGATTTTATTTTGGTTGCACAAATATCTTATAGATCTAGCAGTTGAAAGAAGTTAGCACAGAAAAAATGCATGCGAAGGACAGACACGTAACCTCAAGGTTTCTTCTAGCAATGCCAAGGAAGTTTCACTCGCCGTTTTCGTGGTGTGTTTGAAACGAGCCTGACTTTTATTGCTTCCATCTGCAGAGATTTTGTTTTCTGTGTGTGTTTGCTTGTGTTTCCACAGTTATTTCCACATGTTAGACACAGTGGGGACACTGAGAGGAAGTTAGGTCAAAGGTCCCAGAAAAGGTTATCTCATTTGCCTTTTTGCAAGTAGCCTTAGATGCCAAGCAATTTACAAGAAGACTTAAATATTCTTAAACATACATTCTTGATTCTACATGTGTATACAAAAGAGATTGATTAAGGTTTGATTTAACATTAAAAATCTTTGTTTAAAAAATTATTTTTCCCCCAGCTGAGTATTTCCTAAAGTATGATTATGAATATTCATCACTATCATAATCACAACCATGCTCCAGACTAATTAAAAGGGATCTATGTGTAGCTGTCCTTGTTTATTTCATTTTACTGTTTGTATTATCTTCCACTATTTATGTTTACATTTACAGAAAGAAAACATGTTGTTTTAGCTATACATGTAGGTTGGTTTCTTCTCTTTCCATTCCAATTATACAAGGTCATTGACCTTCGCATTGCGAGAGGTCACCATGGTTTCTGCTAGGGTTTGGTTTTACCAATGTAGCAAGATCAAAATTAGTAACAATTAGTACAAAATAATTAAATAATTAATATATAACTGTGTTTGAGTAAGAAAACAGAGTACTAGTTTGCTACAATTTTCATATATATGTATAATTATTATATGAGAGAGAGAGAGAGAGAGAGTCTGTAAAGATAGATATTCTGTACTTGCATACAAGTTTATATTAATCTTCATTTTAGGACTGATTCTCATAGAATATCAAGGAGGGTGGAAATTTCTATTCTAGACTTTCATTTTATCTCTGCTACCAAGGAGAAAATATTTTACCAATGTGGGTTAGTGGGTTGTTTGGATGGGTGGATTAGGTGTGGGTGTGTATGTGGGTGTTAGTTAAAAGGATTTGGGGGATTTGGTACGTGGGTGTTACATTTTGTAGTAGAGGGTGAGGGTATAGGTGAATGAACTCTTATATTCCAGTATGAAATGATTGTGATTTTATTTTTTTGAAGTGGGATTAAAATTGTTTCATCAGGATGTCATTTGAACCTTAACTTCATTTTTGTTTGAAGATTTATATATCCTTGATCACAAAACAAAGGATTTGGAAGATTCCAAATGTTTGATTGTCAAAAGTTGATTTTTTAAAATGAAATTTGCCTATCTGTAATCTTTAACAAATGTTGTCTGACAGTGTTTTAACTTGTTTAGGTACAGGTACTTGCACCCATGATATACAGGTTTGTACCTGAACAATTTTGCAGGTACAGTGTGCTCAGGTACACTAGACACTGGTGCGTAGCTCAGTACACTAGACAACACTGTTTCATCACTATTGCTGTTTTTAAGCATTGATACTTTGCCCTGTACAGGAAGAAGGAAATGGAATACCCTCCACTGTACAGGTCAGGAACAGGCGCAACATCAGACAGGCCAAGCGAAGAAGAGTGGAGGAAACACCTGTTTACATTGAGGAAGGTGTGTAACAAAGTTGAAACGTATAATTAACACAATCAAATTAAATCTCTACTAACCAATCAGGGATCTTGATTGTCATTGGTTACTTAGTGGGAAATGTGTTATTTCAGCTCTACAGGTCATTATCTTACCTTGTATTTTTGGTCATTTTCTTACCCTGTACCAATATTTTTTAGATCCAGTGGAGGATCATTCAGCACCAAGGACAAGCACAAATATAAACATCAGGTCAGTGTTTCTTCCAAACAGGACATGGCTGACTATCTATTAACTTTATCTTATTTGTTTTGGAATTCCCTTTTGGATTGAAATCATTTTCTCTTTTGTTGCCTACTCCAGAAATATTTTGAATTATACTGGAAATGTAACCCTTGACACCTAGTACCTGCACTGATGATATTAAAAAAAGTTGTTCTTGAGATGTACTGAAACTAAAAACAAATTGTCTATGAAACATAATACCTTATGAAACATAATACATTCAGGCATGATTTTGCAGTATTAAACCCTTATGCTTTCTTGTAGTTGTGGCTTCCCTGTGCAAGAACCCTCAAAAGGAAGGAAAAACAGGAATGTGACCGACTCCCCGGACCGCGAGAACCTTCGTAGGCCGACCTCGCGTAGAACCAGACATGCCGCGAGAAGGGACGGACGCTCCAGTAATCGTGATCGTGGCAGCGGACAGCTGGAACAGACTGTGGCCAGCACAGAACTACTCTCAGCTCTGGTGGAGAATTCACTGGGTAATGATGTTTCTATTTTATTGATGAAAAATAAACAGCCATTGTCCTTCTGTAAGCAATTAGAGACAAGGTTTTGGTTTTGAAAACATCTATGTTTATGTTCAATACTAGTAGATATGCCTGAGTATGGTGAAGTTTCTTTTAACGTTCAAAAGATTAAGATAAGTTAGTCGGCAAAAAAAAGGTCCTTTGTTATTTTGCATAAACAATATTTAGCAATATAGAAAAGTAACATGACTTGGATGTAATTTTCAGGTGTGTCAGGTGATGGTCATGTGACCAATGGTTGCCATGGTGATGATGATGTCACAGGGAATGCTGACCCCTCGGCAGAAGGTGACAGACTCTTACACGTGCTTGGGGAGGCCTCACTGGGACTGTTGGGGCAGAGCACAGAGAACATTGGAGATCCTGTAGCTCTCTGCAATACTGGAGGTAAGAAATAAATTTATTGCCCACTTACACATGGCAGGGTGACCTTCAGGCATGAGCTCCCTGTCAATCAACTGTCAAAATCACCTCCCACCCACTGTGCAACCAAAGCTTCTAGGACAAACAACTCAGCCACCCAAAACAATATGTCCATACCCGGAAGTAATGTCCATACCCGGAAATATGTCCACATATTACCTAATATACCATGTAGTAGACTTGAAACTTAACTGTATTAACTCTAACCTACAATGGCATGATTTCTTGGTAACAAATTGTTCTTTTGTCTGCAAAGTTTTTGTTTTTTTTTTATATATGACTGATTCTATCCTCCATGTAAATTACACGGTATATCCTGGGTTTCCTGTGATGTGATTTACAAAATGTAATTGGGTACTGTACCACTTACTGAATTCCTCCACATACTGCCCACTTACACCTTGCTGGGTCACCTTTAGGCAAGACCTCCCTATCAATCAACTGTCAAAATCACCTCCCACCCAAAGCTTTTGGGACAAGCAGAGACACAAACCCACAACTCAGCCACCCAAAACAATACTTACATACCTGGAAGTAATCATTCTGTAACCATGAATCCATCCAGAGTAGAATAAATTTTGTTCTTTTGTCTCATGAATAGTTCCAAAAACTGAAGCTCAAGTTGGTGACAAGCCTTTACTGAGCAGCCATGGTCACAATGCAGATGAGGGATCCCGGGAAGATGACCAGAGGTCGGACACCCTCGGTCCCACCGTTAGTGAGGCCGAACCTCTGGACATCAGCAAGGAACAAGAACAGATGACCGTCGACCTTCTGACCACAGGTCAGTGCAGGGTGTCTCCTCAGGCTGTGTAATATAAAGGAGTGGCAGGGCTTGAAATACTGGGTGCATATGCAACTTAGTGCATGTAAAATTGGGGCTGTTCAGGTATTTCTGATGTAGAAAATTGGTAGCCAAATGGCTACTTCAGTGTAAAGACCTTGAAGTTGAACTAAGGTTACCCCAAGGAAAAAGGGATTGGTGATGAGTGCTAGGTAAGGCTGGAAATGGCTGCAGTCTTTGCACGAGATGTTAAACCGTCGTCCACTGTTCATTGTGCTTGTCGAAAAAAGCTAGTGGAATTTTCTTCTACAATGAACCTGTAAATACTGTACATAGCGTCTGTCTTCTTTGCCATGACCAGTGGAAGATTACATGTAGCTGTTAAGTGAGCGAGACTGGTTTGAGATCACTTTCCTTTCTTACTTTTCTCTTTGAACATAATTTTTTTTAAGAAAGAGCGTTGCCAGCTGTCAGTCCTGATAGATATTTTAAACCCTTGTATTTTTTTTCTTCCAGAAGATGAAGTTCCTGCTGACATAGGGACGGCTGTAAGGGTCAAAGAAAAGGTAGAATTTTGGCTGAAGCACCACAGTCTACAACCGGAGGCCAACAACAAAACTGACACAGAACCAGTAGGCATGGATGAGTTGGATCCCTACGAATTCATAGGTACTGTAGATTTGATTGTTTGTTTGTTTGTTTGTTTGTTTTCTTCGGATCATCATTAACATCCATACTATTCATCCAAGAGTCTGCTACAATACAATTGAATAAAAGAACAATTGAATGAAGAACAAAACTTATATAATATTGGTTTTAGTTACTGTTTTATGTTGAAGGAAAACATTGTTTTTGAAGTTTCCTCTTCTTCCCCTTCTTCTTCTCCAAACAAATAAGGTCAATGACCTGAACCAGATGTCTGTCACCATAGTAACTAGTGTTAGGTTACATCATGTTGCAATTTGTGTCTGCATGCTTAGGAAGCCAACAGGATCCTGCAAAAGAGAAAAAGAAGCCCAAAATAAGGGTTAAGAAAGTAAGAAAGCCTGCTGCAGCTGGCAAAAGGAACCAAAAGACTCCAACTACCACCAAGATGTCTTCTGGTCCTTCCAAAGGAAAACCTGGGAAGTCGTCAGCCAAACAGGTTGAAGAAGTAGATGGTGGGGAGGAAGAATATGCAGAGCAAGACCAGGAAGTGTCCTCAGGTACTGGTAGAGCCTAGGAAAATTAATTTTAAGTTTCCAGTGTCAGCCTGAAAAAAATCTTAAGATTTGGACCACCTGTTTGCTTGTGGACAAATATTTCCAGTCACCTGATTTTCTGAAGAAAAATTTATTCTGAAAATGTGTTAAAATGATGTTTCAGAAATTCAGAACATTTGAAATTCAGAAAATTTTATTGCCTTACCAGCAGTCAATCAAAGAAAGACTAGGGTCAACATTTTTTTCCTAGGCTTAGTGTCCATTACCCTACACTTAGCTTGCTGTGCTACTGATCAAGTCACTTTGACACAATTATTTCAGACATTTCACTTTGTATTTATATCTGTATAGCCAGTATAACAGCCCTTCAGAATAACACACCAGCTTTGTAGGCACATCTCCATTTCTTTAGCCCTTGGGCCACACAGTTGCGCATGTACTACAGCATAGGGCTTGTCTAATTGTAGGGTATTAAAGTTATACTGTACATGTACCTTGCACAAATACATATCTTCACAATCTCACATACATCTCAAAATATGTGTTTGTGTTTTTTTTTTCACTTGTCTAGCTGCTAGTATGACTGATGGTTCAGAAGCCTCGTGGAAGCCAGGCCAGTCTGATCCGGATTGGGGGAAGGGAAGAATGAGTAGAAGGAGATCAGCCGAGATAAAAGCTGATGAGGAGTCTGTATCCAGTAAAGGTGTGTGTTAGGGAAATCGTTACACTTCTTGACATATCCTCAATGTTGATTGGTCGGTTAAAGATTTAGCTATCATTCATTGCCAATGAGATTGCCTGTAACTTCCATATAAAGTCTGGTCTTCTTAAACAGTGGTTGTACATGTATATAAAGAAGTTCGCTATTCCTGAATATGATATTTAACCTATTTATACTCATATTCAACAAGGACGAAGAAGGAAGCAAAGAAGAGCTGTGGACAAGGAAGACCAGCTGACTGTGTCGTCAGGAAGCAGCAGTCAGTTACGTATCGATCGCTGGGTACAGAGGAAGGAGAAGGTGTTTGTCAAGAGCTACAGTAAACCTGGTACGTCTCTTCATTTATAGTCATATTTTGCTGCCAATGTTGTTGGCTGTTCCATTAGAAAGGTGGAGGGGGCTAGCAAAGCATTTGTGTTTGACAAACATGATTTTTCAACCCTCCTTTTGACGATGTTTGCAAGAGAAATTAAGTTATACAATTTGTACAGAAACTGTACAATCTGTCACACTTTTGTGATAACTTGCATGTTTTCGAAAGAAGTTGCAGGCTGCATCTGATTCCACTGAAATAGTAACACTACATATACCACATAAAACATTGTGGATGAGGATGGGTGAAAAAATGGAGAAAAAAAATAACAATAAAAGTTGTTCCAACCACTTAACCAAGTGTTGTGAACATGAACAGTGTTCAGTTTAGCCCCCACACATAGATAGAAGTTGTTATAGTCTGGAAGAAGTGACTCCGTGCTGATGCAAGCCCTGATCTCCTTCACAGCTTTGTCCCGGAGAGAGAAGAGATTACTCCAGAAGAAGACAGAAGGTCTTGAGGAGCAGTGGAGGAGAGCCAAGAACATGGCCGGAGACTTCTCTGCCAAAGTCTTGCACCCCATCGCTGAAGAACTCCCCAGAAAAACCAAGAAGAAATCTAAGAACAAGGACACACCGTTGGAAGTTCCCGTAGAGGAAACAATAATCCCACAACCAGACTCACCAGAAAAACCAAGCATGGGAAGGAGAGAAGAGGTGCAAAATAGTGATGATGACATGTGTGTTTACCTCACAAGCAATGGAGAACTTCTCAATGAGCCAAATAGCCCTGAAGACAGTGACGGTCCTACAGAAGATCCAGATCCAGAAAAGCAGCCGGCCAAGGAAAAATCTGTCGCACTGACAGATCAGGAACAGAAGATCGCAGCAGATCTGAATGAGCTGGATGAGCAGACCTTCAGTCAACTTGGCATGTTCTCACAGCAGTATCTACAGAAGAGGAAGAGAAGGAAGGACAGGAAGAAGAGGTTTGAAGAAGAGCAAGATAAGGATGAGGACAACATCTTTGCAGCAATCCGGGCTTTAGAAGGTGAAAGCAATCTTTGCAATGAGAAACATGAAGACCAAGATGAAACATCAAGAAAGGAAGCTGAATGCATGGAAGTGGAAGACAATGAGTTGGATCCAGAAGATCACATTCCAGAAGCGACAGGAACAGTTACAGTAGAAAAGACGACTTTCAGGAAGTCTCGACAGGCAAGGTCTCTGTCCCGAGCCCGCAGAGGTGAAGAAGATGTCACAGGAGAAGAAGCAAGGCCAAGAAGGACAAGGTCGTCTACAAGGAAGGGTACAGAAGATAACCTTGAGAAAAATGGCCAGGAGAAGTTAGATGTTCTCCCTGCAGAAGTTGGGAACATTGGGTCAAAGGAAAGCCTTGGACAAGCACCATCTACATCTAAGGCCAAGAGTGGAAGGAAGAGACAGGATGAGAAGGGAGATAGAAAAAGAATTTCTGAAGAAACATCTGGACTTGATTACACGAAAGATAAGTGTGAAGATGTCACCCAAGATCTTGTCAATGAAGGAGTTTCTAAGAAGCCAGAGGAAGGAAAAGGAAGACAGCACTCTGCGACAAAGGAAAGAAAGACATCCAAGTCTGCAAAGGAGCCGGAAACTAGGCAAGAAGATTCTGTCAACATTGGAGAAGCTGTCACAAAGCAAAATGTTTCATGTCAAGAAACTTTGCAGATGAGAAAACGCCACGCAGCTGAAGAACAAACAAACACGAAACCGATCGGTAACATGACGGAATTGCTTAGTCTACAAGAGACAAGGCGCAGCAAGATGTTGTCTGAGAAAAGGAGTAAAGATGACTCAAAGCATCTCCCTCTTGTGACCACGAAAGACAAAGTCCCCCAGGATCCTTACCAGTTTCAGTGTAGCCAGGACTGCGGTGGAAAGAAGAGAGCAGGAAAGAAGAGGGGAAGACGGCAACGAGGTAAAGTGAAGAAGCTGAAAAGGACGAAAGCAAGGAAAAGGGAACTGCTGTTGATCAAAGCAGGATGGATGGAGAAAGAAGAAGATGGAGAAGAAGAACTTGATGAAAGTGAAGAGGAAAATGTTCAGGAGAGTGTAAATAAAAACAATGATAATGAAGAGATGGTTGATGAAATACACATGGATGAATGCAAGGATGCCCAAACGCACTTGGACAAACAAGAAGGAGGAGACCAGGATACAATTCCACCAGAGGAAGGAATAAACAACACAGAAGTATCAGTTGTTCCTGAGTCAAACCCCAACACGCAGGATACTTGTATCCCAAGCAGTCTCAAAACCAAAAGGCAAGGTGTCGTTGACCTCACTGCCAGTCAACCGAGTTATCCAGTGGAAGACACTCCAGGCATTTACTCCACGGAGATCATTCCTCCGTCTGTGGAGGAGCATCAGATTAAGTCTCCTCAAGCTGGCAAAAACAAGAAGAAGAAGAAGGAGAAAACAGGGGAAGTCTCAAAATTGTCCACGTCTGTGAAAGTTGCATCACAGGACACTGAGAACTCTGAGGACATCATCGGACCATCCTGGCAGGAAAAAGAACAAAAACAGCCAAAAGACAAACTCAACAACAAACCAGAAAATGTACAGTCGCCAGAAGAAGTTCAAAACATAAGGAGTCCAAGATGCAGTCCCAAGAATGTCTCAGCTAAGAAGAGAGAAGAAGACGCAAGAAGAAGTGTAAGACACAGCTCAGAGAAAGACAAGGATGGGCAGCAAGACATATTGAACAGTCCAAGACGTAGACCAAGGAAACCTTTGGAAGAACAAGACCTAAGGAGGAGCCCAAGGCACAGCACACGTAAATCCTTAGCTGGAGTTATTGATACAGAACATGATGCAAAGTAAGCCGAAGGCACAGCCCAGAGAAAGACAAGAANGTAAAACAAATGACAGAACCAGTCCAAGACACTGCCTTGAAAAAGCTTTGGATCAAGAAAAGACTGAAGAAGAAGAGATGAAGAAAATTCCAACGCATGGGACTAAGAAAGAAACAGACAAACGCAAGAACAAAACAGGAAAGCAAAACCTGCAACCCTCTTGCAAAGAGAAAAGAAGCACACTACAAGACTATGGGAATGTTGTCAGGAACATCCCTGATACAATCACTCTAGCGAGTCCTTCCCCACCGAGGAGAAACTTCGCAGGCGTGGCCGGCAACACGAGATCGCACAGGACCGGAGAAGGACACGTCAGCGACCCAAGAACCGAGGAAGAAATCTTCTCATCACCTGGAACTCAAGACACAAGTTTAGAGAACAGTATGGAGGACTGTGTGGCCATTCCTGAGTCTGAAACAGCTACAGAGTTTGAGGGGAAGTTGGTGGAAGTGGTAGCTGATGTACACAGGTTGGCTGAGTTCTCGGAGGGAAGCCAGCGAACTCAGACACAGAACAAGTTAAGAAAAGGTAGATTTCGCTCTTAACCATCAACCTGCTACATGTAAGGTAGCCATTTGGCAACAATGTATGTCATTTTGTCAGCAGAGAGAAGGTTGATACTGTCTTTCTCAGCAACAGTCATATTTTTCTTTTGTCCTTAAAAAGGGACTCCTCTGCTCTCATTCAACTGTTGGGGCACCACAGATGATCTGACAACTCCTCTGCGTGTATGCATGAACTTTACAGTGTGAACGTAGCAGTGCTTCTAGATGGATGGATGGAATTTTAAACACAGTACAGTACATGGAAATATGGCTTTCAACACAACTTAGTGAACCAAAAATATTCCTGACTACACCCCTGGTGTTTAAAATGGAAAGGTCTTCAATTCTTCGTAGTAACATTTGTTTTCATTAACTGTGTATGTGTACTATGTACTTATACTGTGTTATATTCTGATGACATCTGTCTTATCTCTCCAAACAGTATTATCTGAGGTACAGTCTCCAGGGCAGAACACCAGTCAGAGGACTCCAGCATCACTCCACAGCAGTGGGAAGGACAGCACCCCTGGGGAGGTGCCCCCCACCCCAGGGGAGATGTTCCCCACCCCTCCCCCACCCTCCACACCTCTCAGCAGCAGTGGTCAGGTAAGAACACAATGTCATTATTTTCTAACTGAAGAGTTACTGAAGCCTTTTGTAAAGGCATACAGATGTTAGATGAAGTTAAAATCCTTCACACATCTTTTGGTGCATACAGCAGTGCACATCTCAGTTTCTGTAGCCCTTAGGCCACTCATTTGTGAAGAAAAGTGCAGGAATAGACTATCGCAATGGTAATGGTGGTACTCTCTTGTAAGTGCTGACTCATTCATAAATTCACAGAGGTGATTATAATCGTTTTGTTTTTGTAGTGAGTGATTATAAGGCAGATAGTACCTGAAATTGGACAGGCCAATCCTATTACACAAAATGTATACTCTTGTATCACATTTGACTTTTTTCTGCAATTGTTTCCTTTTTTAAAATAATCTTGATTCACACCTTGTACCACAGAAAGCCGCAGCAGACAGGAACAGACTGAGCACACGCAGACGACGCTCACAACTCCGCTCCCCAGAAAGCATGCCATCTGACCATCCTACCTCCCCACAGAATACACCTTCTACACCAGATCTCCTGAAGTCAGCTGCAGCTGGCACCAAGTCCACCAAGTCTTGTGCTACGCCTACAGTCCCTCCTGATGCAGTGGACAGTGGAAAGGAAACACCAAAGTCATATCCTCCTGAGAGTGACGTATCCACACACTGTAGTCAGAGGACCACACAAAGTGATTACAGAGAACACCTGGATTTAAATGTGGTCCCAGACAGTGAGGAAAATGCCCCAAGGAGAGGAAAAAGAAAATCCTCTATATTGCAGAATACTTCTAACTCAGAAGCAAGCCCTAAGACGAAAGTGACGTCCCCAAGCACCATGTTACAGCAGTCTTTTCTAGATTCTGGAAACACAGAAGCCAGCGTCTCGCTACTTGATAATGTAAAACTGCAGACAAAAGCTTCAGAAGTGGTTTCCCAGCAGAAGCGAAAGAGTCCTAGACTCAGCAGGGAGGTATCTGACATTGACAAAAACGAAAATTCAAGCAGAGAAGTAACACAGAAACTGGAGCAAACTAAAGCTGAAGAAACCAACTCTGGAAGTCATCTTAAAGAACAAACACGAGGAGGAAAAGGGGAAGACAAAGCCGACTACTTGGAGCTCACTGAAAATGTGGTTGCAACACAAGCTACCTTCAACGGACAAGGCCAGAAATCAGAAGAAAACGAAGATCAAGATCTTGCTGAGGAGGTAAAGCAAAACGTTCAGGTAGAAGACAATGAGCAGGAGATAGAAGATGCACAAGAGGAGGATGGTACAGAAGATGAAGAGGATGATGATAGTGAGGAAGAGGATCTTGTCCCTCCAACTCCTCCAGACACATCCTTCACACAACTGACACAGCGAACTATGACAGTAAAATCCAAACCTAGGATACCAGAAAGGTTTGATGTGCAAGAAAACAACCGTCAGCCTGTCATAATCGAAGAAGAGGAAAACCGTGAGTGTGGCTGGTCGGACGATGATGATGATGAACTGCCTGACCTTGATGACAATCATCAGGTGTCACCCACGTGTCATTCCAACACAGCCACACCACAGAACAGGTCAGAGAAACAACCAGATACGAAGGAAGCCGTCAAGGAAAGTCAAGATGACATTTCTCAAGCAACGGATACTGACATCAACACTCGTTCTCAGAGCAAGAGAAGGAAAGAAACAAGTGCAGTACTGGACATGAAAGATGAAGTAACAGTTGAATCATTGCCCAAAAGGAGGAAGTCAGAAGGAAACACAGAACCAGAGTCAGAAACCAAAAGGATCCCTATAGCTGATGCTTTTGATGTCACAGCTTGCTTAGAGAATAATGAAGGTACTTTGATCATTGCTATTCATTCTTTTGAAAGACAAATGATATTTTTACAATACTCATTCTTTGGGTGTTCATTTCAACAAGTTAGAAAATAAAAGTTTAAAATTTTCTTTATTCTTGATTGTTCATCAATTGATTTCTTACACTTAATTCCCCTGCTTTTCAACAGCTATTGTATAATGTACTGTATTTAGTATTTTGTTTGTTTGTTTCAGAGTCAGACTTAAGCCAAGACAGTCACACCCACGACCTGACCAATGCCTCGACCCTGAGTGAGCTGTATGATACACAGGTAGGTCTGCTTCCTATAAAATAGTGCTGTACTTAAATTCAATTTTAAATCACTAAAAGAAACCAACAGTAAGGTCCAAAACCCACTGTACTATGTTAAATATATCCCAATGTCAAGTTCTCAGCATGTGTATGGGAGGAGGATTGACAGGCAGAATGACGGTCAAAGGCTACACACAGGAAATGGGGTGAACTTGAATCTGGCCAGGAATTATCAAGAATTATGAGGTTGTCATGGGGGAATTCAGGAAGCTGAAGATTGCATGTGCGACCTTCCAACCCTGCATCCAGTTTCCTGGTCCCAATTCAAATATTTGTTCCCCAAAACTGAAAATACTTCTTGGAAGTCTGAAATCTCTGATTTCTTGTTTTTCTTCTCCCAGCACCAGGACAAGTTAAAGAACGATGTGCAGCACCTGGAAGGACAGATGGCCATGATACAGATGCTTCTGGCCAAGGGGAAGGAGAGAGCAAGAGAGAAGGAGAAAGAAGAAAACAACAGTGAGGAACAGCATCTCACAACAGGTACCTGTTACTTTTTTCTTACTGTCATGAATGGCATTTAAAATTGTAAATCATATTAGCTCCAGCATATATATACACTGGCATTTATTAGTGCTATTTGTGCAAGTAGGGAATTCTTGGTTTCAAACTGCTTTTTTATAACCTGCTGTAAGTTATGCTTAAGTATCTGTGTTCAGTTGTTGGATCTTAATACTCAAGATTACTCATATTTTGCTAAATATAGAAGGAATGAATGGCAGTAGATAGCATCACAAGTCAAGTATGAAGCTAGCATGTCTCTGTTGTTTCTTATATTATACTTGAAAGATTAAGTCAGCTACAATGCCAGTTATCTTTTCAGTTTGCATGTAAAGTGCAAAGCTTTTTACTCCATCTAATTATTCACTCTCACCGCAACAGTACACGAAGAGAACATGCAGGTTTCTGAAGGTGACCAAGAGGAAATTCTAAGTGGAAAGGACTTGTATGGAACGCCTTCTTCACAAGCGTCTGCTAAAGACATTTACTCCACTGCACATGAGGGGACAACTCCTAGGAAACTGAGGTCCAGTAGCACTCCTACTGAAACCAACCACTCACCCACCAAAGAGTACAACTTTCGCAAGCGAGTGTCGTCTCCTCAAAGATCACAGGAGGCGTCTGTGAAGTCACAAAAGTCTCGCCGGTCACAAAGCTCGCCAAGGTCATCCCAACCTTGCCTGTCGCCACGATCACCCTCCCCGCCTCCAACTTTTTCTCCGGAGAAGACACGAGCGTCGAGAGCGCTCCCACCGGCCATACAGGCTGCAGCAAGCCTTCTGGAGAAGTTTAAAAGCCCAAATGTTGAAGGCAAAAAAAGGAATAGTGGTAACAGCACCCCTCTGGGAAAAGATGATGCCACAGAAAGAAGATTAAGTCCTAGAGTACAGAAAGGAAGTACAAGTTCTTCTGATAGGAAGAACACCACCCCAAGAAGCAGTGTTTCTTCTAAGAAGTCCAATTCAAAGAGCCATGTCAGTCCAAGGAGAAAGAAACAAAGAGGTCTTGTAGAAGATGAAGATAGAGGTGATGATGATACTCTGCCTGTTGAAGACATCGTTCCAACTGTTGTAAAGAACAGGAGAAGTTTGAACAGAAAAAAGAGCAACTCCTTGAAGGATGTGTTTTCAGATGAAGAGGATCATACTGTTACAAGATGTGACTATGTTCCTCCTGCTTCTGATGGTGATGAAAACAATCTGCCAACTTCAGGAGAACTCAGAGATGACGTCTGTGAACCAGAAGAGGTTTCAGCCAATTGGAAGGCATTTCAGCAAATGAAATGTGATATACTGGCCCAGAAAGGTCCGTCTCCGAGTAAAAGGCAAAACAAGGAAGCTCCCAAAAGACTGTCTCTGCCTTCAACACAAAAATCAGACAAATCCTCTTCTGACAAACGAAAATCTGAACCAGCCATCCCTTCCTCTCAGTTTGATCGAAATGGCATTACAGAAAACCCTTCCACTCCCCAACCAAGGAAGACTCCACTGACGTTCAGTCAACAACCATCACCAAGTCTTAGAAAGCCGCTTCAAAGTGTTCCAAGTAAGAAGGACAGTCCACGCATCCGTAGCAGTTACAAGTCGCCCACTGATCGCACACCCAAGGAAAACACTGAAAGGATGACTTCCACACTAACGGAGAAGAGCACAGATAGTGCAGCTGGACAGACATCAGGAGTGAAGAATGCGTGGCAAGAGAAGAATCATGTCCCCATGACATTTGTGACAACAGGTCTAAGCAAAGAGGAGACTGTAAGTTTTCATCTTAACCTCTTATCATTGTACAATAACTGTAAATAGTGAAACTTTGAAGGTGGTTTTATTTCGTGGTAAGGATGAAGGGAGGTTTTCACACTTTTTTTTTTCAAATTCGTAGTTAAGCAATTCTGTAGTACAATACCAGTAGTCATACAAGGGAGCCTTATTCGTAGTGTCATGAGTTCGCAGTAGACAGGACACCATGAAAATTAAATGCGGCAAAAGTTTCTCTATTTACAATACTTTTGGTCTACCAAATGATAACTAAAGGTTGATGAGTAAGTGATGTGTTTTTTGAAGTTAAGATTCAGGAAATGGCATATGTGACATCACTTGGTATAAAAATCAGGTCACAATTTAAACTGACAAATAAGACATTAGTATGAAAACTGTAACATACTTGAAAATCCCTGACCTGTTCCTTAAGAGTTTAGTGGAATTTCTAATAAATGATTCTTAAATTTTTCTCTACAGCGAGCTGTGCATGAGCTGGCTAAGAAGACAGGGTCTCGAGTCAAGCAGACGTTTGACAACAGCACCACTCATGTCATCACAAGAACAGGTGACATAGCATTATCTTTGACCAATAGGAACACATGTTACAATGTTGTTGAGCAATCAGAAGCCTTGTATCAGTTTCAAAGTTCAGAGACATTCACCAATGATAAGACTTGTGTTAACTTCATTGGCCAATCAATGTTCTTGTTTCTTACAGATGTGGACTTGTTCTGTTCCCGTACACTGAAGTTCTTTCTGGGCATTGCAGGCAGAAAGTGGATCGTGTCCTTTCAGTGTAAGAAGACTTGAACTTGACTTGAACTTGATTCTAAGCCTATAAGGTTAAAAATAACCTTGAAATATTCAAGGAGCTATAGTTAAGTGTACATTCATGTGGTGGTGAAAGGGGCCATTCTGACTCTGCTCTTCATTTTTACTCTGATATAATTTACTTAAATGTATTTCAATATTGAAATCATGGTTTTAATTTTTCAGGGATATCTGCCTGCTTGGAGGAGGGGAAACATGTACCAGAGGTGAGCCACTGGTTTTCCAAAACCACGTGGATTTTCTTTGTTAAGTTTGGTTATGTTTTCTCTATTTATTTTTCCAAGTGAGCAGTTGTTGGAAGTAAAATTTCCATGGTTCCTTACAGGAGCCGTATGAAGTGCGAGGAGATCTGGTCCATGGGTGTCATGGCGGCCCACGACAAGCTCGTAGCAATAAGGGCAAGGTAGGTAACCTGTCAGTACAGCCTTCTGGACTGTTTTGATGGTAGTCCGGAACAAACAAACCCCTAAAGAGGGGCGAACAAAACAATGAGTAAACCGCTCTACCTGGTGAGACAACTGTGTCATCCCAGCCAGGTAAGCACAATACACGCATCGGCTATGATATCGCCTCTGCCTTCTGGACTATATGTAGCTTTAAACCATCTAGATTAGAATGTTATTTAGTGTACTACACAGATTTTAGGACCACTTCCAGTAATGGTTATGTTTGTCTCTCAACAGCTGCTCTTGTCTAACTATGAGATCTGCATCTATGGGAAGTTCACTGCACTCACCAGAGGTACTTCATTTTTTTTTCTTCATCTTGTCACTTTTTTTTATTTAGGCCTGTGTAAATGCAATATTTTTTTAAAAAGCAAGTCTCCCCGTGCATTTTTGTACATTTATGAATCAAGTTTCTCATCTTGAAAATTGATGCAGAAATGTTACTTACTTTGACTATTAGATAAACCCCTCGAAAACCCTTCATAAGTTTATCACACTTACCATATAAAACATTTATTTCTGTCAGATGACCTGCAGTTCATGGTTGAGCTGTGTGGGGGCACTGTTATCAAGGAACCCCACATGTTTCCTCATGACAAGGTGAGTTGGTGTTTCTGTTCTCATCCTGTATACAATCATTTCTTTTGTTTGAAAAAAAAGAAAACACATATATATTAGACACACGAAATAGCCCCACTGGCCAAGTGTATATGTATGTATTTTTACCTGCTGCAGCCTTATACCTTTCTTGTACTATAAAACAGGTCCCATGTCCATTGTTGAGATTTGATGCTTTTTACAAATGTAACGTTATATATGCAGGGATTTATGGGGCTCCATTTGTTCATATCCTCACAAATGATATAAAGTATTATCATGTTTTCATAGTATTTAAGTTGCCAGTACAAATGTATTAGGAGGAAAACTGTTGAGTTGGGTCTATACATCTTGAAAAGTTTTGATGGCCCAGAATTGTTTTTCTTCAAGTGAAGTAGGTCTTACATTAAGGGCATTTTAATGCATAATGACCATTGATAGAGACTAAAAAACTAGTCCTAACCACCCCTCCTGAAATTCCAGGATGGAATAGCCCTTAACAGCCACCACAGTAGGTTCACAAAAGAGCAGGGTCCTTGACAGAGTATAAGTGGCTTCAGACCACCGCTGAGAGCTTAAAAACCGATTCTGGTCCCACAGTCTGGATGGTTTGTTCATACCCAAGTATTTCACCCCAGATAACCCCAGTCTGTGGAAAATGTACACTGAAAGGACAGGATACATGTATATTCTTAGATCCCGTTCATACCAGACTTTTATAAACCGGTTTAAACCGCTAAATAATTAGCGGAGGAAAACCCGGCTAAAACCCTTAGCGTTCATACCAGACTTTTCATAACCGGTTTTGTAAAAATCCTGTCCGGTGAATGTCCAATTAATCTGCCATGACTGCAGTTTGAATATCCGTTCCTCCCAATATCCTTCCAATTGTTGTCGCCTTCTTGTATGCCGTCTTCAGGTTCTTCATATACCTTTAATATACTGCGGCACTGATCCTTTATCTTTGAGAAACTAGGCTCCTCCAACATTTTTGTTTGGGTAGAGCCCCCCCCCCCCCCGTTTTTTTTCGAATGCGGCGACTCGGGTCTCCTGCTCACCAAAAATAAGTATCAGGAGCGTCCCGCCGCCGAACATGTTGCGTATGCTGATTCCATCGTAAAATGAAGAAAAACCATGGAAAACAGTAGAAAGGAACTCAAAGTGGTCAAAACAACGCGATCAAAAAAGCTTGGAGGTCGCACACGGCCAGGATGCTGACCCCGTGACTCCGGAATTATGACGCAAAAACCGGTTCAATAAACCCTTAGCGTTCAGACCAGGTTTTTCGGTGGAAAAACCCCTCAAAAACCCTTCAAAAACCACCTCGGGAGCTCTAAATCGGATATAAACCCCTAAAAACCGGTTAATTTGCGTTCACACCAGGTTAAATAAAAACCAGTTTTTGAAAAACCGATTGAAACCGCTAAATGTAAGTCTGGTATGAACAGGGTCTTACACACTGTAGTCCCAAAGGTAGTTCACTTGTCAAGATATACATGCAAATGTCATGAATTTGAAATCTTACAGCGAAACACTACAGGATAATACATACTAGCTATGAAAACAAGCAGTAGCATTATCATTAGAGTTTGTAGTTCTAACCTGTCATACTTGGAAGCCAATTTGGTTGTATCAGAATATGTTAAAATTATCAAAATAACGTTTAGAATTGCATTCCAACTTCTGCAACATTTATGAATGCAGAATGATATAACTGTATAATAGCTACATTATTTTACTATAAAATATCTTTCTACAGATTGCTAACCAACCCACAAAAAAGAAAACTGTATATTTTATCAGTAAGAATATTAAATACTGTTTTTTTTTTCATTTTCTTGCAGAAACCCTTGATTGTGAGTCAGGTAGATGCCAACCAACTCACAGAAGAAGACTACAATAGTAAGATAGGAGAACATGTTTGTTTAAATAAAACAAAGGCTCAAGTATACCTTAGGCCATGTTGATTTGATTATATGGATGACATCCGCGCGCGCATGAATTTTCGGCCGTTTCAAAAAAAAAAAGTTTTCAACCACACTGTAAATCGTGCAAAAAAGTTGCTAAATGAGCAAAAATATACCATTAGTTGCAAGGAAAACATTTAGAAACTATACCAATGTCGTAGAATGCCAAAATCAAATGAAAAAAGACAAAAATGTAAAGAAATGAATTCGAAGAGTAGATTATTCGCCATAACATATTCTGTGCCATTTGTTCAACCTTCATGACCACGTAGATTTCATAGTGAAAGCAACTTTTTTTTTGCAAAACTTTTTTTTATTCGCACGCGCGCATCAGTTTTGGGGCTCCCAAAGGATGTCATCCATATAATCAAATCAACATGGCCTTACTGTAACAATTAAGTTTTAAAAGCATTGCATGATGTGGTGTAAAACAATGGTTAGGGCAATTCTAGCTTCCTCTGGGGACAAAGTAACAGTGTAAAATGCTTCTAAATCAAAGTTGATTGAACCGACATCCACACATGTATTTCGCAGATTTTGCAATAGGATTACAACAGGCACCCAATAACTATTGATTTGCAGCAAGCTGTTAGCAACAGGTTATTTATCATTGCCCAATATTTCAAAAGAAGAGAGATTTCATCTATGGAGGGAAACTGGTAAAAATCAATGTGAACACAGCTGTTGCATGTCAAATAGATCTTTTGCAGCCATAGTTTGGCAGAGCAGTCAATTTTTGAAGGGAGAAAATGGCAGACATCTATCCAGTTTAATGTCTTTTTTTTCCCCGAAACTGGGGGTTAGATGTGCTTGCATAAAAGCGAAAAGTTAATTTGTACGTCATAGCTGCGGATAGTATCGTCACATATCACATTTGGACACGTTTTGTGTTATGTAAACCGTAAACAACCATAATCTGATTTTCTGTCATTTCTTCAGTGTTTTACCGCCGGTACGGAGTTTTATCCGTGACAAGGGACTGGATTCTGGACAGCGTATCAAGTTACCAGGTCCAGCCAATCAATCGCTATCTGATGTGCTCAACACAGAACCAGAACGTCATCGTCATCGACTGAACTTTTGACAGAAGCTTTCTTTGCACTCTCTCTTCCATTCTTTGGAAAAATATTCAGATGTTCTATTGGCAAGTCTACAACTGTTCTAGACAAGATGTAAATAGCTTTAACTAAACTAATCTATTGGAATAGCGTAGTGTTGTTGTTTTTTAATATTAGGGATAGATATAGTATTTTACATGAGTTTTTTTTCCTTTTAAGATTTCTGCATACTAAGGAAATGAACTGTTTATCTTCCATAAGGCATAGATCTATTGCGTAGATATATTGCAAGAAAATTGAAAACAAAATGGTCAGATGTTTCAAATTTTATCAAGCATATAAACTACCTATACCCAATGCCTGGACATACTTACATGTAAACAAGCAATTAACCTAACGGATGCATCATCATAACTTGCTTATTAATAAACTTGGTCTAACTCCATTATTGCATGTTTCTTCAAAGGTACTATTAAGATGCATTCTATAGTTGTATTAAAAGTTCATTGAAAAATGAGAACTTGATTCTGTGTCAGATAGAGTAAGATTTATTTGTAGTCTTTGAAGTTTTTCAATGACTTTCTTCCTTTTGTCCCATATTTGTGTTCCCAAAAAACTTTGTTTGTTTATTAGCATCTCCATTACTGTTACATAGATTTCACAATACCAGGAATATGCAAGTGTGATGATGTACATGTACATGTAAATCACTGTGTGGCTAATACAAGGCTGGACGGGGGTTCACCAGTTAGTGAATCACCAACTTCCAGATAGTAGTACATTTGTACATGTAATTTCACCATTCATTGTACACCAGGGCATGTCCCTACTCTTTTCCAAAAGATGTCGTGGGTTGTTTGAAATGCATATGATGTGGCTCTCCCCAAACACAGGTCCTCCTTTTAGCATCCTAAAGTTAGAATTAAATCGAATTTCTGTTAAAGTAGTACATTTTGCACACTAAGTTGACAAGCAAACTCCAGCTAGACATTTTGGCCCATTCCAAATATTCAGTGACCTGTCCCTATAAATATATTGTGGCGTCGGTGGCGCAACGGTCAGAGCATTGGACTCTGAACCAACAGGTCCCAGGTTCGATACTCACCGTGGCCGGACGTTGTGCCCTTAGGAAAGGCACTTTAGTCTTTACACGACTTCCCTCCCTGTACGGTGGAATGACCGAGCCTCTTAGGCTATTCTGTCTAACTGTGTACTAAAAACACCCTACAGATTTGGTGCGCCAATGTGACAACATCTGCACATTGGCCACTGAGAGACGTGAAATTTTTTTTTTGTCCCTATCAAAGGTCCCTCTGACAGGTCCAGGCCCCCACCCTTCCACCTGCAATTGTGTATTAAACACCACTTGAGTGATTTGGATAAGTTGCTGAAATTTGAAGGACCACTTGATATGGTCTGGGATCAAGGGTTTGGGAGGAATTGATGGGGAAATACAAACATGGATATCAAAATACCTAGTTTTGCTAGATAAAATAAAATCACAATATTAACAGGTAGTAGTAGTAGTTAACTCTGCTATGTCATACCGACAACTTGAAAGAAAAATGTAGCACCATACTACAGGCTTCACACCTGAGGCGTTGTCAAAAGATACGTTTAATTCTTAGTTCCGAATCGTCAAGTAGATGTAGTGTATTGTTCATATTCATCGTTTTTTCTACCTCTTTTTTTCTCACCTAGGCATGTCTTTCAAGCTATGATGTGTGTTTCACTGACTAAAGCATTTCATCTGATCGAATATTCAGTGGCAAAAAGATACCGCTCCGTTTCGGACCATTAGCAGTCCCCTGACAAGCTTTTGAGTCCGTGGCTCTATGATGTTGAAGTGTCTTGTATGTCGGCCACTCAGTGTTTAATGGGCCACAGACGGCCATGGCCTTGAAATGAGGAAAAGTTTTAATCTGCAATTCTACGTACATGCTAGCATTTCATGTTGCAGCCTCAAAGCAGATGTAGCGAGGGAAGCTTTAGAAAAACGTTTCTGACTGCCTTCTTTTGACTAGTGGAATTTCTCTTCTACTCTCAGCGAAAACTAATAAACTGGTGGACGTCCCGACTACTAAGTACCTAATACCAGCCCAGAAGAGAACAAGAAATAGCCATGCATTCAAGTACCAGAGTTATCAACCAGGGATTGAGGTGTTCAAGAATTCATCATTTCCTAGAACTATCGTAGAGTGGAACTCGCTGTCACCAATTACAGTAGGGGCATTATCATTAGATAGCTTTAATCAATGTCTAGACATATGTTTAAGGGTTAGGTGTAACAAGTCGATCGGTTTAATGTAGCCAGCTGCCGCAGCGCCGCGTGCCTGCGAAGCTAGGGTGTTACGGCAAAGGGCGGTCAGATAAAGAAAACGTCCAGGTCGTCCCGTTTTACCACCCAACATCTGCTTGCAGATTGGAAACACCCTGACCCTTCACCACAGTGTTGATCTTTATCTAGTCACTCAGCAGCAGTCAAGGACATCCCTGTCGTCACTGTCAAGGTCGCGGGACCCGGGGACAGGTGGTCTGGGTTTGATTACCGATCCACGGGTAGGTTCGCCTTCCACATGCAAGAACATTTTAACTGTCACCCTTCTAAGGGCTGAGCTATGCACTAATGCTAAGGTCACATTTCCAAACCGGGGCCCGGCCGGGCTCTTTGGATAAACGAAAAATCAATTTATATCAAGAATATACGCAAATAATTCCCATTATTATTTTTTCAAGTTCTTTATGCTTTGTTATCTTTCATACCATACTTTTTATTCCATAAGACTGCCCGGTCGGGTCCTGGTTTGGAAATGTGACCTCAGCATAAGGTTATATTGTACTGGTATACGTGGGTAAGCAAAAATATGGTTTAAATATGCATTCGAAGAGGGATAGAAGAAGAAATAGACAACACTTGAGCTTGCAATTGGACGACATCTTAATCGTACGTCACATGCGACCGCATAGTTAGCCGTTAGAAGTAGACATGCAATTTGGGATAATTTGATTGTCCTCATCTAGAAATCCAGGCTCAAGAATTTTTAGCGCCCATCCTATAGTCATAGCAAAAATACAAGAACCAATTTGTTCAATTTGGTGTTATCTTGTTCACAAACAAAACTAAACAAACAGCTCCCAAGGTAAACAAACAAAACAAGGTCGTGTTGACGGACGCATAAATCGATCCCCGGCTGTCCCGTCCATCCATCAAGTCACGACGTGTGGAAAACACGGCGTCAGCTGCTGACATGTGTCTGTCAGCCCGCGGGTCGGGTTCGGCAGGACGGTCAGTCTGGTCACGCCCGATCGGTTTCATATCTGTCCCTGTCACAACACTTTTGACAGGTCCGAGCCGTCCCTTACAAAACCATACTCTCCAAGCAGAGGTTTGGGTTTGGGGTAGTTTTGGCGTGTTTTTAGGCTTTCTTATTGGGGTTTCTTTTTTGCAGTGGATAGAAACCCCGATGAATTTCAGAAAAAAGCCTCACCTCAAAACACGCCAAAAATACCCCAAAACCCAAACATCTGCTTGGAGAGTACAGCCTAGCCTCTACCAGGCGTCGGGAAGCGGATGGTAAAATTGCAAATTGGCAAATGCAAATAGATACTACCTGGCCAGTTTGATACTACTAGTACTGTCCAAGGACATTATACAGACTGTCTTTGCAGCCACCGAAAGATCTGCTCGGAGAGTAGCAAACTGTACTCTTTAACTAATCTCCAAGCAGATCTCGGGTGACCAACGAATGCTGTCTTTGCGCCCACCGAAAGATCTGCTCGGAGATTTTTTTAGCAGACCAACTCCCTTGGCATGTTACCTGTCAATTTCTACTCTTTCTGCCGCTTCCTGAAGCCTGGTAGAGGCTAGCTATATACAGCTATCACTTGATACAGCTCTCTATGCGAAAAAAATAGCGCGCTCATGCTATAGAATCAAACGTAGACCGCTAGGAAAGTCTATGTGGTTTCCAGAAGATGTCTACAACTTGAGAAAGACTTTGCGGCCTTTCTTGCTGCTCTAATGTATACTAAATCCGTTTGCAGGTCGGATTACATGTGCTACAATTAAACTACTGTATATCTAGACAACCCCGTGGTCTTAAGGCCCCTTTTGAGGAAGGACAGAACACCAGCATAATGGAAGATGAAGACGACCAGGTATTCATATTGTTAAAGCAAGTTGTGAAAACGAAGGCGCCAAGGGTCTGAGGCGCCTCAGACGGCGCCAGTTCAATCTTCTCTTGGCTGTCGGACAATAAGACGGAGATGTAGACGTCTTACACCCGGTTTACACGGCGCCAAAATCCTTGCGTACGAAAATTGCGTACGGAAATTGCGTACGAAAATTGCGTACGCAAGGGTTTTCCCTCCGTGTAAACCGGCCCCAATTTGCGTACGCAACTTTCGTACGCAATTTTCGTACGCCACCTCTAGAGGTGGCGTACGATCAGCGGCTCGCCCAGCGGGGAGTCTCCGTGCCTCCCAGCCTCATGTAAAACAGGAAAGAACCCCTTTCTTGTTGCAAATTCCATTCTTTTCCCACGTTTGTACCAGCCACGCCGTGTTTACTTGTTCAATTCTCCGCGTTTCATTTCGTTTTCCGTTCCCTTTAATTCTCTGTTTCAATTGTTTTGATTTAGTAAGCTTTTTGCTGACTGTTCGCTGGGCACGTCGGATGGGCGTAACATCGCAAATTGGAGTATGGATTAACGACAGGATGAAAAGCGAAATAGAGACTGTTAGAAAGAAGGAAGTATATGAGGACATTGCATGAGACATGGAGACTACAACCAAACTACAAAACTGCTGTCAAGTACGTCCATGGCGGCAGGTCAAAATGGGGTCACGATAGTGTGGGACGGGGCGCAGCGGGAGTCCTCTGGCTCTCCCTGTCGTTGTATAAACAGAAATGAACGTACGCTCGCGTGCGTACGCAATTTTCGTACGCAAGGATTTTGTCGCCGTGTAAACCGGGTGTTAGGGTGGATGTTTCCCAGTGAGAGCGATGTGTGGGTCACTTTGTATCCTCTTATTTCTGAACCAAGACATTTGGAACCGTATACATCTGGCAATTGTTGTGAAGGTATACACAAAAGATTAACGAATGAATGACAACCTTTATTGCACATTTTTGCCACACTGGGCTAACTACAGGTCAAAACAAAACATGATGAAAAGATATACAAAATAGAATTAACTATCATTACATAGATTCAACTTCTCGCTTTAGAGTTATTGTAGAGATAAAGGAACAGATATGTTTTTCGATGGAATGTTTGTGAATGAGTTATGAATACGCTTTCTATTCTGTAAAAAGGAGCTGCCGATCACATGGTCGCAAGATCGGCGTAAGATCACAAGTTTAGAACATTCGTCTTGTGATAACCGTACGTGTGTTTTTATTCTATTTTATTACATTGAATTCTAAACGCCAAATCAGTTTTCTCGTTACCAAAACAAAAGCAAAAGGCTGTCTTAGATCCTTGTCGGTGATTGGGTCTGTCTCAGCCTGCTTGAAAATTCTAGGACATCAAAATCGTACCGTACGACCTACGACGGAATGCGACCGCGCCGTAACTAGAAAGTTTTAATCGCCTAGCTTTGTTAAAAGCACGTTTCTGAATCTATCTTGGAACATGCAAGGACATTCTACAAAACGTCCTTGCTTGGAACCAAATACATTTACAATGCCGATTGGCAGAAAGTAGCCTATAGGTGCCATCCTCATCAGTTTCTAAACCGGGGTTCCTATACTCCCTATTCAAGTGAGTGAATATGGGAGCCCCGGTACCAGTATACTAATAGGGTGTCACCCATGCAGGTTAGGATGAAAGTCCGTTTACTGAAATTTATTTCTTTTGTCTGCTTTCTTTCTTTTTTGGCTCTATACGAGAATGAATTGTTCGACCTTGTCTGACCTTGGCGTGTGTCCACAAGTACGTCTGTGGAGTCAGCCAAGGTCAAGCCTCCGCCGTGTTTAGGCTGGCTGTTGTCTGGACTAAACTGTTTTATGATCGTGATTTAAAACCTCGCCCTCTTTACACGGTTTACTCGACTGTGAGTAGATTTGGAATACACTCATCTCCAAGCAGATATGTGGAGAGGAGAACTTCCTTCCTAGATTACGTTAAACAGTAATCTTTGGTTAACACCTTAACATTGACCCTTTTTTTCTGACTTGAATACGTTTCATTGCTCTTGTTTCTTAACTGTTTGCTGGAAGTGCGAGTTTACTAGCAACAAGGAGGTTATATCTCCTTGCTAGTTCGCAATGTGGCTGTTCCTCTTTTCCTTCCTTCCTTCCTTCCATCCTTCCTTCCTTCCTGAGTCCTTCCCGTCCTTCCTTCCTTCCCGGTCCTTTCTTCCTTCCTTCCTCCCTCCTTTTTTTGCCTTCCTTTCCTTTCCCTTCCCTTTCTTCCTTCTTTCCTTTCTTCCCTCCTTCCTGCCTTCCTTCCATCCTTCCCGATCCTTCCTTCCCGGTCCTTCTTTCCTTCCTTCTTCCCTCCTTCCCTTTCTTTCTTATCTTTTGCTTTGTATGTCTTCCCTTTGTTGGTGTGTATCGGTACTGAGTGGCTGTAAAGTCTCCCTGTGAGAAGAGGTGCCAGCTGTCTACAGCCCCTCCGGCACCGGGCCACAAATTTGTTCTGGGAGTCGATGAAAAATTGCACCTGAAAAGACACTTGGCATCCTCGGTTACAGGCGCCGTGCCAACAACCTCCTCCTACTAAACCCCTGTCACACAGAACCGACCGACCATGGTCTCCCGACCTTCTACAGGGCATGGTGGGGTGGGGAACTTGGGAGTTGGTCGTGAGCAAGGTCATCTGTGGTTGGCAGTTGGTCGGCAAGGTTGGCTACTAGTCGTATGCGCCAGCCGACTGTGCACAGGAGCGAACTGGAGATAACATCGGGTATCAACTGGTTACAGGCTACTCCCAACCGGTCAACCCAGCGTCGACCTTGGTTGGGGAATGGTCGGGAAGAAGTCGTGGGAAGACAGGGGCTCATAGAGCTGAACGATAAGAAAAATCTTCGACAATGTGTTCTTCGAAATTTTTATGGGCCAATAACTCACTTTATTTTTCTCTGAACTAATCACTAGTCTGGAGACCAATACATATGGCTTTTACTTTTCAATGTTTCCTTGGTTGTATTTACTAACTGCTGTAGTACAATGGGGAGGTACAGAGACACGATTTTCATTACCTGTACGATGCAGCTAAAAGCCGTTGCAACATATCGACTTCACGAGAAGAGCCTGTTGAACGAAGGCTACTTTTGTTATGTTCGTCTATTATCAAACAAATGTTGTACATGTCATCGCCGAAAAACGCACAGAAGCCAACACGAGCCAGCCTCTCGTAACTGCAAGAAGAACATTGCCTTAGGCTAGGAGTGTCCGACTTCTCCTTAAATCCTGGAATTTGTAAGTTACAATCTTACAACAATGAGTTTTTTTAAGATGGGCACTGACCCGAGTCCGGTTGCCCTGAAGCGATAGGTACTGTGGACTGTACCTTACTTGTTCTGTACGAAATAATTCAGGGAGCGGACTAATAAAAAAGTTATGCACAAGAATGCTTCTCATGCCAGCAATATGAATTTGCAAGCCAAGAAACTGGCTCAGGACCCAAGCGTTTTTTAATCGAAGTATGGGGACTAGTTTCCAAAAACCCCGCCTCCCCCACACCTAGTGATGTCACTGATTTACTTTCTGCTGTCAAATGGTCGTAAATTCAATTCTATTTTCTACAGAATTCATCCAAAACATCTAATCAACCGACTATTAATCAACTTTGTTACTTAAAGTACTGAAGGGTGCACAAAAGAGGCGGATGCAAACAACTTCTCCCAGAATGTATAGCGTAGGTTGCTGAGAGTTACATGTAGCTGCTTTCTTTTATCTTTTATTCTCTATCCTTCTCTCGCTCTCTTGCTCTTCTTTTTCTGTCTCTATTTCCGTAAGTTCTTGCTTCGTTTCTTATTCGGTCTGGGGTCTTTCTTTTCCTTTTTTCCCTCAGTTCTCCCCTTCGTTTCTTTTTCTAAGAGCGAAGAAGTGATATACGTTTCACACGAAGTAATTTCCCTCAGGAGCGTGCGATCCTTTCACTCATTGTAATGAAATAACTACCGACCAACCTTTTTCATTGATTGTCATCAGAGAGGTTAAGGACACGCCAATATCTCTCCAGATATCATCGCCAGAAAGCACTTAACCGAAGCCGACCCCTTCTTAAAAGCAGCGTAATTGAATGAAGGTATATCAAGGGCCACGGAAGCTGGTTGAAAGGTTCAAGGGGTCCGGGGGTATCGTGTTTTTCTAGTAAAGTACACGAGAAGAGTGTAAAAGGAAATACAAATGAGATGAAGTTGTTGAACGGAAATATCAGTGAGGAGAAGACTTTGAAATGAAAAAAAATATCAAAGATTCGCTGTAGTTTACATTCGGAGGGAACTGTAAATATATGTGCAATCGTTGCAATATATATGTGTCATAAGGATTTGAGAACTAGTGACATTGAGGAGCCAGGTATAGCAAAGATACAACTGTCTTTAATATCACTAAAGGAGCTTTCAAGTCTTACCACTAAAGAGCTTAAATTTCAATAGATTGAAAGCTCATTGAAAGCTTACTGCTTTTAATACACTTAAAACACCACTTCTGTGTCCTGTCGCGAGTTGTATACCTGGTAATTGGAATAAAAGTTGATCCCTTTACAAATTTCACCACTGATCGGTAGCATTGTAACCCGTCATTTTATGTTGTAATTGATATGCGGGTTTATAAATGGCACAAATGGTCGTTAAATGGATTCCAATTTAGCTCCCCGAACCCCATAATGACCCCCTGGATCCGATTAATCCCCCGGCTAACGACGACAGGGCGCCAACGGGCGCCACAACGAGGCTCTAGGGTGCCCCTCTGGCGACACATCGGGGACCGTACGTTTTCCACCCGGCATTGATGTGCAGATGAGAGCGGCGCCAGCCCAATAACTAGGGCGACGGGGTCGGCTTTCTTCAAGCAGATGTTGGGTGGGAGGGCTGGTTGTCCATGGAGGTAGAAAAATACTTCTACCTCCATGGGTTGTCTGAAAAGTAAGCCGCGAGAAGAAAAGTCAGAAGAATTTTCTTCCACCGGATGCACCTCGATATATCATCTGGTGGGAATTATGGAGTTATGATATGAATACACCAGAAGAAACTTGTGAAAATTTCACAGAAAAATGAAATGATACGTTTCTTAGCTCTTGTTTAATAGTCGACTAGGAGTCCTGGACATTTCCATATGAGAATAATTGTCTCACAGAACACCAAGCCGATCTATTAGTGATTTTTCCACAAAGCAAACTATCTATATATTACCGAATATTTCTGGGTGTGATCAAGGAATGATATATTATATGTCTAGCACTAGCACTACACCGAGGGTACTTAGCGTTGATATAAACTTTCTGTCTGAAACCTATCCACAGCTTTTATTTGCCGCCATTCTGGGGTTTATCAAGGTTTCTTTTATGAAGTCCTGTGAGTTTGAAATACGCAGACTGTTGCATGGCTACAACTGGGATTTTCTCTTCATTTTGTCGCGACTTCGTAACGAAATCACCTCCTCCCGGCGGCTCACAGCTGCGAGTCAGACATACATGTTGCTCCCGCGAACCACCCCGAGGTGTGAAACGGTTTGTCCCTATGGCCTTTGGCCGACCGCTGTGCAGCGATCCGTGGTGCAGAGGGCAACGGGAGAAAGCTGCGGTTTCAGCGGGGTTTTCTCCGCGCTTTTCTGGGGGTGTGCCTCCGTGCAGTCGCCGGGATTCTTGCAACGGGACATCGGACGGCCCAGCCCGCACGCGTTTCACGTAAGTTCGCCGTCTTTCCAACCCGGGAGGGTGCAGTGTTTGGGTCCGATCTAGCGGTGTTGTGGTGTGTAGCTCGGCGGTTCTTGCATGCCTCGATGGGCAGCTAGCGCAGTGTGTGCGGGCCTCGGGACCAGCGCACACCCCTCGCCAACTTCCCAGTAGGCTGCCCAGTTTCACTAACTCTCCCAACTTTGCACTACCTCCTTAAAGAAACCCCCGCATCCTTAAGAAACGCACTAAAACTTCTGCACGTTTTTTTAACCTCCAGCGGCAGAAGTTTACAGTGGAGTGATGACGTCATATGTAAACGACGAGCTGTCCGAAATGTTGACCATCACTCTTGTTGCGCTCTCCACAGATGTTGGGCCTAGATAAAGGATTTTCGCGGCGTATCCACTTCAATATCACAACACTGCTGCGCTTTTAAAGAAAGTTTCACGGTAACAAACCACACGATTCAAACACTGCAACGTGCGTGCAAACCAGCTTCTAATAGCTACATGATTTAAATGTCCCCTGTGATTTTTTTGTCGCCAAGGTTGTTACAAAACTAAGATCTCGACTCGCCCCTACACGTCTGTGAGTAGACCGAATTTTTCTGTCACTAAGTATTGTCAGCAGGTCACCTTTAAGACCTGCCCCTCACGTGACAGCGTGCACGTAGCGCGGATAGCGGACCGTGCAGGTGCTGTGGGACCCAGGCCAGCATGACTCACCAGGACACTTGCAGCTGTAACACTTCCCGTAGCCACGCCCATGTTCTAGTAGTCTTCGTATAGGCACCTGCAGTTGGGGAAACTGGAAAAGTTCTAGAGAGTGACGATTTTCCCAAAACTTTTTTGTTTTCTTTTTTGAAAAGATACAAGGAAGTGTTTTGCAATTTGTGTGCTTTTTGACACGGGAAAATGTTTGACAGAAATATTTGAAAAGTGCAAATAATCACATTGGCACCTGCAGTTTTGAAACTGACAAAAGTTTCAAAAGATTTGGGTATGGATGATTTGGGCAAAAAAGGAATTGTGATATGGTAGGAGTATAGAAGCTTTGTTTTGGCTTATGGACTATTACAAAAAAAGTCCATATATATTTGTTTATACCGTTTCAGGAATTTTTATTGGTACGGTTTTCATTTTCAATTTTCCTAAGTACTGTTCCCTCGGTTTTTATTTTGCATTGTTCAATCCACCCTGTTAAAAGGGTGCTAAAAATTTTGGAGAGAAAAAAACATGTTTTTTTTTCCTAAAAAAACTTTTATTTTACAATAATCTTCATCATTATTTTACAATGAAGAAGTACATCATCGTCAATGTCTTGAAGTTTGATGGGCCTTTGATGAAAACCTGAGAAATGCTGAATATCCTGAAATGTTTGCAGTGTTTTTTGTTGTGACCTCTATACCACAAATTCACTGCAAATGTATAATTCCAATGTACACTATAGCGAACTTACAATACCACACGAAAAACACCTTTCCCTACATTCTACGTTCACTTAAAATTATGTTTCATGAAAGTAAGTGAATCAAATCATATAGTGTTTAAATTTTTTTGAGCCACCTGTGCAGCTTCCTTGTCACATGCAACCCTGTCAGTAACAGTTAGCAGTAAAAAGTGTTAAGTGTTATTAGTGTTAAGACCTGGAGGATTGGGTTTCTGAACTTTGACCCTAATCCCATCCTTCTAGAAAAGTACAAGCCTGTCAAACCTTTTTGACCTTGAGGAAATAGATCCCAATGTCACTCAGCTTCAGTTCCTGGAGGCAAAAATGTAACGTTAGATTTTAAAGTCATATCTACACTATTCCTCATCAAGAAAGCAAGTTGATTAGAAATTCCTTTTTATTCAAAAACATGTACTATTTTACTTTTTAGCATTTAACTGTAGCTCAAAGTGTGTCCAGGGTGTACTATACTAACGTAGATATCAGTAGTTAGTTTATCACTTGCACATAAACAATATAGATGTAGGGTGCGTATGTTACAGCTGCATGCAACATAATCTTATACAGATTGAACTTTCCTGACAAATAAACTGTTCCACTGTTGAATACGTAACACTTAGGAAAACATGCTTTTTGGCTGCAAAGATTGATTACTAGTCCAACTCTGGCAGAAATTCTAGCTGTTCTTTTCCCAAACCTCAACATACAGACACTATGGAGTATGGTATAGGTCGTGTTCAGAAGTTAGTTTTTGTTTTGGTGTCAATGCCCTGCCTCCTGTGCTTGTGGTTCTTTCTTGTTGCCTGTATAGAAATGTGGGTTACCACACTAGGGGTGTTCCCAAGAACAAACCTATCACCATTCACAGCACAAGGCAGCTTTGATAGGTACATTGACAAATGGACGTTTGAAAGGGTAGATTGAGTTGCGTTGGAAACAGCGGCCGAGCGCTTTTGTTCTTCAGGACCTTCAGCTTAGCTTGCATTAGCTTTGTGGTCGGCGAACAAAAGCCACGTTGTACATTGACTGCTTTGTGTATATTGGGACATCGGATCATAAGCTGCAGCTAAGCTTTCAAGGATTGACGTCAAAGGGAGTTTGAGTTGCACGGCCTGGAGCGAGGGGGCAGAAGTTTCCTAGGGTCAAGCAGGTAGCGATTCCTACCCTGGGTCGAACAGGACTTGTTTGAATTGTTCTTTCTACCAGGTAAGCCTCGCATATGCCGGGTATGTGTCATTGACCTCAGAAGTAGACACAGTTCGCTGCGCCGGAGCTTTGTCTCTCGCGTACCGGGACGTGTATAATGGTGACAGACAGATCCCAGCGCTTTGTGAACATACCCTACTTTCTCTCGCTATTGTTGTGGTTTTCTATTGTGGTGTTTCTCGGAGGCTTTACCACATGCCCTCAGGGGTAATGCTGTCGGGAGCCGTCTTCTGCCAAATTGATTCTGTTCTAATGGTAGAGGCTTTCAGATAAACCAGGACTAAAGCCCAGCACATACAGGGCAGCTTGCCAACTGTATACATGCCAGGGCTGGAAATACTTTTTTCTGCATACCTGTACTGGTATAGGTAAAATGATACTGAAAATTACCTGCACCACTCAGAATTTAGAAAGTATGGATCATACTAAAAACTGTACAGAGACTATTTCCTTTATGGGTGGTAACAGTCAATGCAGCAAATAAAAATCCATATATGCCTACTACATATAAACCCAGTACATGGACCAGTGCAGGTTAGGTGCTGGTAGACATAAGAAATACCTGCACAGCTCTGATCAGGTGGTGTTTCAAGCCCTGCATTAGACTATTGCAAATGTTGCCGATAGGATAAAGTATTAGTAATGAAATTAGATCTAAAGGCAGAGTCCTGGTTGGCTGAAACTTGATATTCTAGTTAATGCAGAATCATGATTGGTCTAGAATAAAAGTAAATTATTCATCCCATTTGGTGCGTGATCTTTCAACAGGAGAAGGCTCCATGTCCCCATGCTAAAGTTTCAAAGGCTTTGTGGTAGTGATGAGTGTTTGATATCCACTCTGTACATTTATTGTCCATCTCTTTTAGCTGATTGCGAAACAGTCAGAAAATGTATGTGTAAACAGCCATTGCTGGAAGTACAACAAGGGGACCTTTTTCCTCAGGTAGATTTATGGTTGGCCAGGTCTTTGTGGTTTGGCAAAAGAACGTGACATTATAGTGTGCCAAATTGTTTGCTATGCTCAGTACCACAGAGAGGTCAAGGGTACAAATTTGTCAGGTGTAGTGACAGCCTTCTCTGGTTTCTTAGGGACTTAGGGCTGGTCCATTACAAAAGGTGGGGGTGGTGGTTGGATGATCAGATTGGAGCTGTGCAAAGATAAATGAAGTTACAGTAATTTATGGAGTTGTTCACCCCATAACCCCATAACTGACCTATCCCGGATGTCAGTTCTTTAGAAAGTTTCTGTGAGCTTTTGTGATAGCCAAGGGGGCAATCCATTCATTACCATAGGGGAGGAGATTATTTTAAGGGGAAGTACAAAGTTTTATGGTACTCTATTTTATTCCTTCTTAGGTTTATAAATCATGTGGACAAACATTTACCTTAAAATGGTCCAAATTTCAGAACAACCTTTTTTCAGACATGCATTTTTGTATGAAGAGCATCAGATGGTGTCAATTTCATTACGAAAGTTTGGCACAGATAATATTGTATTGTACTTTTAAATGATCTGAATCCAAAAGAATGAGTTAATGGTGCTAAAAAAGAAATGCCATAAAAGGCTAAGTTTTGATGGACTTGACCTTGTAAATGTTTGCAGGGCTACTTTATTTTATGACCCCCTTCACAGTTATTACCACCTCCCCTCTACCTTTACCATCACCATTCTCTTGAGCAGTCCCTTGGCAAACCTCCAGGAGTAACAGTGGAATAGAAGCTCTCATCAGCATGACCAAAACCCTAAATATTTAGGCTTTCAGTACCTATAAACAGAGGGTGTTGGTATAAAACACTAGAGAACTGTGAGAATCGATCTAGAAACCCTTTGCATGGGGTAGACTGGCAGTTTGTGGTCAGGCGTTTGAATGACATGGCAGTCACCTTAAAGTGACCTTGGACGTTGGAGTTTAGCATCCCCAACACAAGCAGCAATTAAGGTACTAGTAAAGAATTTGTTTTGTAAATGAGGTTTTTACGTCTCCAAGGAGGCTTAACTTGATTTGGGTTTCACCAGTTTTAGGTGGTTGGACACGGGCTGGTTGGTTGGCTGGCTAGCAGGTTGGTTACTTGGTTGTTTGGTTACTTGATTGGTTGATAGGTTGGTTGGTTGGTTATCTGGATAAATATGAAGCTATGAATCAGTGACTGTCCCATCCTAAATCTATCTGCCAGGAATCATTGTAATGATTTTTAACCAGGCATGATACAGCCAAATTTGACAATTTTTCAAGTTAAGACCCTGTTCATACCAGACTTATATTTAGCGGTTTCAACCGGTTTTTCAAAAACCGGTTTTTATTTAACCTGGTGTGAACGCAAATTAACCGGTTTTTTAGGGGTTTAAATCCGAT